TCAAAAAAAAAAAGAAATACAGTAGAACCTAGTATGTTGACCACCCAAGGGACTCTAACAAAATGGTCAATATATGGAGGTGGTCAACATAAGGAACTAGGGCTACTGTATCAATACATACATGTGGTGCATATCCTGTCTATGAAAATTACATCAATTGGATAGCACTCATAGCTCAATGGGTAGGGCACTGGCACATACACGGAGGCTGGAGGATTCGAACCCAGCCCATGCCGGCAAAAACAATGACAACCGCAACAAAAAAATAGTTGGGCATTGTGATGGGTGCCTGTAGTCCCAGCTACTTGGGAGACTGAGGCAAGAGAATTGCTTAAACCCAAGAGTTTGTGGTTGCTGTGAGCTGTGATACCACAGCACTCTACCCAGAGTGACAGCTTGAGATTCTGTCTCAAAAAAAAAATAATTACATCAATTTAAGAAAGTGGTCAAGTATGGGTTTTAAATAATCAGAAAGAGGAGCATGAAATTCTTATAGACTAAGTAAAATGTATTCTGTTAAAAGTCTATAGCTATGGGCAGCACCTGTGGCTCAAGGGAGTGAGGCACCAGCCCCATATACCAGAGGTGATGGGTTCAAACCCAGCCGCAGACAAAAACTGCAAAAAAATAATAATAATAATAATAATAAATAAATAATAAAATAAAATAAATAGGTTTTTAAAAAAAAAGTCTATAGCTATGATGACAACTTAGGGAGAGGTGAAAGAGAAAAAAAAAGTTTACAGCCTACATTTAGTTATCTTAAATATAAGAATCAAAAGTAAAATTATACATACATATTATAAACACATGTTTGAAAACATTAACATTAAACAGTTTTACTGCGATTACTTTTGGTTTTTGTCATCCACTCGTTTTAGTAAATCAGTAAAGGATTTTAACAGACACACTTGAGTTGAACCACATAGTTTACTGCTCTGACGTGCAAGAACAGCTTTTTTTTTTAGGATATAAAAGTATAAGTTTATTTGATTTTAGAGAGAGGGAAGAGAGTAGGGGGAAGAGGTGAGAAAGAGGGAGAGAAGAGAAAGAGAAAGGGACTGAGAGAAGGGAAGATGGGGGAAGAGAGAAGGAATAGCTTTTGAATACACTGGCATTACCATGTATTGTTCCAGTTCATAAGCAAGAACGTGGAACTGGAACAAACGCAGAGCTAAGTACAAATCCAAATGCTACGTATTTATAGATAACATTTTATTAATAGAAGTAGACTGCCCGGGTTCAAATCCGACCTTCACTGTTTACCAACTGTGACCTTGGACAAATTAGATTGACTTAAGTTCTGTGCCTCTGTTTCCTCATCTAAGAAATAGGAATGATAATAATGGTAACTTCCTCTTACGGTTATAAGAATTAAATGAGATACAGTATGTAGTATGCCTTTAAACATGTTTGGCATGTATCAACTGATCAAATGTGACAGGCTATACTTGCATTCTCCCACTACGAATGGGAGATTGGTGTGAAATTTGGTAGGGCCTGGGTAGAGTCCTAGAAATGCTAGATGGATTATATGCACATGTAAACTCCATGAGGGAAAATAACAGGGTTACATGGCATGAACCTTCAGGACAGTATTTTAGAAAGACTGAGTATCAGTTTAGTATATGTCATGTTCCTGAAAACTTCAACAAAACTAAATTATAAGAATTTAATTGGACTTTCAATGTAATTATGGGTTGAATTTAGAGGGAAATTGGATCATCTCTTAGTAACTAAGGATCTTTTAAATATTCCAAATTTCCTTAACAGAAAATACTTGGGTAGGGGCGGTGCCTGTGGCTCAGTGAGTAGGGCGCCGGCCCCATATACCGAGGGTGCTGGGTTCAAACCCAATCCCTGCCAAAGTGCAACAAAAAATAGCTGGGCATTGCAGTGGGTACCTGTAGTCCCAGCTACTCAGGAGGCTGAGGCAAAAGAATCGCCTAAGCCCAAGAGCTG